TGGATCAAATTCTATAATTAGGTTACTCTGTGATAAAAATTTCCCCTCAATTTCATATGGCTACAGTTTTTGCTGTTTATTACCTTGACACATTTTTTTTTTCTTTTAGGTCCCAAAGACCTTCCCTTAACTATTGTTATCTCTGGAGCAGTCTAACCTTGTCAGATCTTCCTTCATGATAAGTGACAGAAGCCTTGTTCTGCACAATGGTTCTCAGCAGCAGCCTGGTGTACAAAAGCCCAGCCTAGTGACATCTCCAGATGTTTGTGTCCCATTTCCTTGGTGACAACTGCAAAGAGATCATCATATCACGAGAGTGACGCTGGTGTGATGGAGCCTGGAGCTGAGAAGGCTGTGTAACACCAACCCCTACCAGGAAGAAACAAGAAGTGCATATATATATATATATATATATATATATATATATCAGACAATCAAATACTTAAAGGGCATTTACTGAAACACTTGACTACTTAGTCTCATGAGAGTGTAAGAAAGTTCTACAGGGCAGTAAACAGTTCTCTTCAAATAGCCAAGAAGTGCCAACGGGTGACCCAGCAAATGGCGTAATAACTCAAGATGTTTTTATAGACTCTGTGAGGCTTTGTTATACCATGGGAGTGATTATGTTGTAATTGCTACTGGCTTGTATAGTATTATTTTGAGTCCTTTTGAGCCTGTAAGTGGAACAACAGAAATTCTAGTATTTGGATGTGTGTTGCAAACCACAAATTTTTCTCACCACTGCTCTATGGATTTGAACAGGATTGTCTGTTCCTCAAAACTGTAATTCACATATGTCAGGAGGTGCATGCATGAGTGAGTGTCACAGATGATGTTGTCTGGCCAGAGAAACTTGAAAACTGGTAAGCTGGTTTTTTTAAGGCTATTCATTGGCGTCTAGAGGCTTTGCAGAATAAAGGCTGTAATGAATCATTTACATAAAACTAAGTATTGAAAACAATTCTGAAGATGTACCCCAACTCTACAAGAAGCTATATAGGAACAAATGTTAGGACCTACCTTTGGTGACAAGATAGGGAATGGTGACATTTATGCTGTGTGCTTACCTTCAATTAAATAGTACTAAGAGAACTCTTATCTCAATGCTTCCATGAACTTCCCACAAACTTACATATCCAGGTGGTCACTGAATTAGATTATTATATTCATTGAATCATCACAAGAAATTGGAAACTTCACACCACTGAAATCTGTAGCTTGCCACTCCCTTCATCTAGTTTGAAGACAATAGCTTAGCATGATTTTTAGATTCTAGCCAATGAGCCTCCTTTGCATCAGCTACCATCCTCTGTATATTCCAGGCAATGTGCTAACATAATCACATAAATCTGCTGAATCCTCAAAATAGCCACCTAGTTTTGGTATCATTGTGTCATAATTTTAAGTGAAAATAAATGGAGAAACTGAGACAGAGATGCTTTATATTATGGCAAAATTCTCTTTATTTTTATAAGGTAAAAAACATGGATTTGAGCTCCAAATTGAAACTTGGACTTTTCATTTTCCCTTAATTTTTTTCCTTGTTATCTCATTTGCAAAATGATATTAGGATTGTTTGCATATGTTGATTTAATTTTGGATTTTTTTCACCATTTTCTTTAGGAGTTAAGGGATACGATCATACTTTATGTCTGGGGATGGGTGTGGGTGGGGGTGGGGCTGGAGTGATTAAGAGTCCCAGTCTAAATGGGACTAGGGAATTGAGCCGTTTATTAAGACTCCCTGCACATACGAGCCCCTAAGGAAGAGACCTAGTTATTGGAATTAGTATAAAGTTAAGGATCAGTCAGTTGCAAGAAAGAATTCTAGGTAGAATACTTGGTGCATATTTGTGCATATTTGGCTGAGAGGAGTGTATTCGTGAGGATAGGGAAGCTTTCACCTGAGGCAGGTGTGTAATGTCAGAACAGCAGTAAGGCGAACTGGTGTCTGTCTGTGTTTGATTCTCAGGTCTGATGAAACAATGCCAGATAAGCACGTTTGGCATTTTGCTGAAAACGTTTTACAACTTCCAGATAAAGAAAGTGGTGATAGAGACTGATGTCAAAGTTTATTTCCTTGGAAGAAGAAAGAGAAAAATGGGAAAAGGAGGAGATATTGAAAAGGGGGGATTCGAATGAATGAAGCATCGTGATTCAATCATCACTGCAAAGATGGGAAGGCCAGGAGAGGCCTCAGGGGGAAGACTCTGGAACCTCTCCAGCTCCATCCTACTCTCTATCCATCCAGTGATGGACAGTTGTTGAACATGACACCTGGCTTCTCGGCATTAAGGTTTTGAATGGAGAGACAAAAGGGAGAGCTAATTGTGTTCTTTGCATTCCCGTTTAATTTGGTACACTTTTAATTAGGACTCTGGTGGGACTGGGAATCACTTGCTTTTGCACAGGCAGCACCTGACAGCAGGTGACTGTGTAGAGGAAAGGGATTATTATGGAAGCCTCTAAGGTCATACGGACATCAATGTAACAGTCACACAGAAAGCACTGGAAAGTGTCAGCCCTGATGGCAAAAGTGACCCGTTCAAGATCAATAGCACTGCACAGAATGCGATACCTTGGGGGCCCAGGCAACATGTAAATACAGCCAGGTTCAGAAGGGGAAGAAGAGGTTCACAAATGAAATCATCACTGGGAGAGAAAAGAACTCACATTTATTGAGCCCTTTTATAAAGCACAGGCACACAGAGGCATAGACTAAAAACTCCATACATTTTTAACACACACAATTTCCTCTTTTGTTCACAACCATTTCCAAACATGAAAATTAAGTTTGGGTAGTGCTAAGTGACTTTCCCAACTTTTTGAAGCTGGTAAATACTACAGGCAGACATCCGACTTAATGCAATCCCACTCCCAAGTGCATATTTCCTTCCCTGTGCTCCCAGGTACCCATCAGTCCCTAACACCTTCTATCATTTCTGCCTTTTATAGTAACCATATGCAAATATTTCACTTACAGAGAAAAAATTGTGTGTGCATAATGGGTAAGTTACCAATACAATTTATTTGTAGAAATTATTATTGTTATACACTTATTTATTTATTGCATCTAATTTTGGATGCAGCTTATCAAGTGCTTGCACAAGTGCCTGCACAAGTACCTCTTGCACAAGACAAGCTAGAGGCTGTAGCAAGGGACCCACCAGTAAATAAGACAAGGTCCTTTTCTAGGAGCTAAGAACTGTTGACATTTGCTGTATTAATGGATATGGAAAGACTGTAGGCAATACCTTGTTGAGTCATTTTCCTAATATTTAAATGGGTTTTCTCAATATAAACTAATATGTACTAATACAAAATAGACCAAGTAATATCGAGTGCTAAATACAAGATGGCCATTAAGACTTCTCAAATGCCCTAGTAAGTCAATGCCTGTGGAAGAAATTGGGTAGTTATTAATGAATTTGATTGTGTTTATTCACTTAAAAATAAAAGTATTTGTCTTGTGTGAAAAATCTGAAGTAGTACTGAGTTTGCTTCCTCCAGTAAGTCAATGCCTGTGGAAGAAATTGGGTAGTTATTAATGAATTTGATTGTGTTTATTCACTTAAAAATAAAAGTATCTGTCTTGTGTGAAAAATCTGAAGTAGTACTGAGTTTGCTACCTCCATCACATTGGGAGGGGTTTAGCTTTAAGTCAGAACATTCATAGTGGCACATCTGTCTCCATATCACTCCTAATGACTTCAAGTGTTTCTCTACAAGCAAGAAGAATGAAGCCCAAATTATTTCCTTCTTTCTGTGAAGAGCAACAGGGAATCCTGCCATCGTGCTGGGACCATGGCAGCAGCTCCCCACTCTGATTCCCTGTTCTTGCCCATACTCCCCTTGAAACTAATCTCATTTCAGAAGATGGAATAATATATGCAAATATTTAATTGTAAAGTAAAACAGATACAAAATGCAGAAAATAAATAGAGGTTAATGAATCATTCCAAGGCAAACATCTTTGAAACTGCTGGAAAGGATAAAAACAGGACTTTGACACCCATCTGAGAAGGTTCTCTGTGTCTAATTTTATTTTCATTCAAATTCTTCCCAGGGCCAAAAGCACCGCTCTCACAGATCTTACAGCAATCACTTAAAGTTCTTTAAATAATCCTGTCACCTGATTTTATTGATCCTTTTTGCCTATATTTTGACATGTACCTGTTAAGTATCTCCCAATCTATAACCACCAATGCTGTCTCCCTGTTTATTTCTTTACTATTTACCTGTTGAATAGCCCAGGGCTGTTGTTGGGCTTTTGTTGATGGGGCAGTCAAAGTGCCAATCAACACATCCCTCCCACCTGTGTATTGGCAGCTAGACCCAGGCTCACACAGCTGCTCCATCCTGCTGGTGCAGTGTGTTTCTGCAGGGGACCCTGGGGTCTGCTTGCCTCTCCTTTTGAGATATTGTCACTTGTTGCAGCATGGTCCCTGAATTTGTTAATTCATTTAACAAAATGACATTCAAATTATTTCATTTCTGTTTTCATTTAATAGAAGGAATGTTTTTATAAAGAGCTCCTTCTCTCATCTACTGCTTCATTAGCCAGTGGTACAATTCTTATGGGAAAGGCTGGTACATGTTTGAATTTTTCCCTTTAATTATCAGCTTTCTAGACAGAGATTTGATTCCCTATCATCTTCCAAATGTGACCAATTAATTTTTAATGTTGTTTTTCTTTAAAGACCATCAGACACTCATGGATTTAAGCATGTTTGATAGATTTCAATCAATTATAATTATTATTCATTTTGAAGTTCAATTGTCTCATTTTTGGCCAATGAGCAATGTCTTAGGAGAGACTCTGGGATCTACGTGGCATGTCTTTATAATCTGTAAATGCTTCTCCAATATTTGGCGTGACAGAATGTTCTTGGTTCACCTCAAACATTTCTAAACCTGATAGTAGCCTTTTATAGAAGTTGTCTTGCTGTCTTTCTATTTGTTTTTCATTTTGGAAAATGGAAAATGTTATTTATTTGCAGACCCCAATCTGTGCACTACCTTTGATTCTCACTGGTGGCCTAGTCATTGTTTGTGCCTCTTTTTTTTTTTTCTTGGTACCAGGGATTGAACCCAGGGGGCACTTGACCACTGAGCCACATCCCCAGCCCTATTTTGTATTTTCTTTAGAGACAGGGTCTCACTGAGTTGCTTAGTGCCTCCCTGTTGCTGAGGCTAGCTTTGAACTTGTGATCCTCCTGCCTCAGCCTCCTGAGGGATTACAGGCATGCACCACTGCACCCACTGCTTGCTTCCTGTTAAAAGCTTTACTTCTGCTATATAAGATATGCATTATTCTTCTGGGACTTTAATCAGTGTAGTCCATACACTTTTAGTTTATACCACACTATCTACAATGGTTGTGTGTGTGTGTGTGTGTGTGTGTGTGTGTGTGTGTG